GCACCATTCAGATTCTACTGTTTCAATTGTTGAGAATGTGCTGGTTGTTTATGCATCTAGATGAAGCTAGAACTGATTCTTGCAAGAAGTTTATTTATCTCACATTGTCTGACCATGTAATCTGTTAGGATAGAACTTGCAAAGTGCATTGCCAACCCTTCTTGCGCAGCCAATGTGGCGTGTCTCCAGACCTGTAATAACCGTCCAGATGAAACCGAGTGCCAGGTTTTTATATTTATCTTTGATATATCATTTGGCGCCTATAGCTGCTTATGAGAGAAGAGACCGATGATTGTGCTTATTTCAGATCAAATGCGGGGATCTATTCGAGAACAAAGTAGTTGATGAGTTCAACGAGTGTGCTGTGTCGAGAAAAAAGTGTGTTCCTAGAAAATCTGATCTCGGAGAATTTCCTGCGCCGGACCCTTCTGTTCTTGTCCAGAATTTCAACATTGGGGATTTTAACGGGAAGTGGTACATTACAAGTGGCTTGAATCCAACCTTTGATATATTTGACTGCCAACTGCATGATTTCCACACAGAAGGTGACAAGCTTGTTGGAAACATCTCCTGGAGAATAAAGACACTAGACAGCGGATTCTTTACTAGGTCAGCCGTACAAACATTCGTGCAAGATCCTAACCAACCTGGTGTTCTCTACAATCATGACAACGAGTACCTTCACTATCAAGATGACTGGTAACAGCAACATCTTGTACTTCCCTTGATAATAATGCTGCTTCTCTTTGTTGGCTTAAGAAGTTTTCACATGATTCTTGCAGGTATATCCTGTCATCAAAGACAGAGAATAAACCTGACGACTATATTTTTGTGTACTACCGTGGGAGAAACGATGCTTGGGATGGATATGGTGGTGCGGTTGTGTACACGAGAAGTGCTGTATTACCCAATAGCATTATACCAGAACTTGAAAAAGCAGCAAAAAGCATAGGCAGAGACTTCAGCACATTCGTGAGAACGGATAATACATGCGGTCCTGAACCTCCGCTCGTGGAAAGACTCGAGAAGACAGTGGAAGAAGGGGAAAAGATAATCGTAAAAGAAGTTGAAGAGATAGAAGAGGAAGTCGAGAAGGATTTGGAAAAAGCCGGTAAGACTGAGATGACCTTGTTCCAGAGATTGGCTGAAGGATTTAACGAACTAAAGAAAGACGAGGAGAATTTCTTGAAAGGGTTAAGTGACGAAGAGATGGAGTTGTTGAATGAGCTCAAAATGGAAGCAAGTGAGGTAGAGAAATTGTTTGGGAAAGCTTTGCCTATCAGGAAGGTCAGGT